GAGAGAGAGAGAGAGAGAGAGAGAGAGAGAGAGAGAGAGAGAGAGATGAGGGAGAAAGGTAGGTATGACTGTGTTGAAGAGAAGCCTCATGCCAAGTGACTGCTGGGAGGGTAAGATAAGACCCAACTCCCCACCCCTGGATTGGCTAATCACACACTACTTGGGGTCAGGCCACAGTAATCCTCACTTTTGTGACTATAAGTATACAGGACAGATTAGAAGAAATAGAAACTAAAGGTGTGGAGACCAATTAGGAGGCTATCCTAATAGTGCAGCTGAAAGCAAATGAGAACTTAGGCACAGGGGCAGCAATGGGAATGGAAAGAAGGGTGAAAGCGATAGATTCTGGGAGAGGTAGAATGGAGATTTTGAAACTGACTAGATATGGAGGAGGGGAGTAAGAGAGGGAGGAGTCAAGGATGATGGGGAGATTTTGAGCTTGGGTGACTGGAAAATAGTAGATAGAGCAAGATATAGGTCTTCAAGTATTTGAAGGGCCATCATGTGGGTTTAGATTTATTCTGCTTGATTTTCCAAAGGAGAGATTAGGAGAAATGCATAAAACTGCAAAGGTGGGGAGGAGGTATCTCAGTTTAAGGGGGGAAAAAGATTTAACAATTAGAACTTTCCAAAAGTGAAAAGAGCAGCCTCAAAAGACATTGGATTAATGTTGGAACCAGAGAAGAGATGAAAAACACTTCCTCCCTCTCAGTAGAGAAAGGGGGTACCATGGGTATAGAATGTCACCAGTGAAGTCAGATACAGTTACTACGTTGGTCAGTTTTTAACTGCTTTCCTTGTTACAAAAGAGCAGGTTTGGCATGGAGTACGGGAGACATGTATAGGAAAAAGACTGTGCTGTTAAAAAAAAAAAGGTATCAATAAAATGGTAATAAATACACACAGGAGTGAGATCTCCCTCAAGGGAGGTTACACAGGATCACTTGTGGTGACGGTATGGAGGTCACTCATGTTCAATATGGACTGGACCTCTGAGGCCTCCCCCTTCCCACTCAGAGATTCTGAGGACTGCCAGAAAGACGATCACTTCAGATTTGGATATGTCAAGTTTGAGACGTCCACAGACATTTAGGTGAAGCTGTGCAACAGCCAGCCTGGAGCCTGGGAGGAAGTTCAGGGATAGAGCCGTCGATCTGCATAGAGGCGGCATCAGAAACCACAGGGACAGACGAGGTCACCCAGAAACTGGGTATAGGAAGAGAAGAAGAGATGTCAGGGCTTCGGACAATCTTGGTTTAAAGTTGATCCAACAAGCACTCGCTGTGGATCTGCGCTAGGCCGATTAGAGGGTCTACAAGGCAGAGGCCATCCCTGCCCTCGAGCAGCTCGAGCTTCAGACAATCTTAGCTTAAAGTTGATCCAACAAGCACTCACTGTGGATCTGCGCTAGGCCGATTAGAGGGTCTACAAGGCAGAGGCCGTCCCTGCCCTCGAGCAGCTCGAGCTTCGGTCTCGGGACCCCGGAACGACAGCTACAAGGGACCTC